GTAAGACAGCTCCTCTCGTGTTTGCTCGGCTTCTTTGTTGAAAAGCAAAAACAAACTAGTTTTTTTGTTTTTCAAGCTTAATTTGTTTGGAGGTGTGATGTTTTTAATTCCTCTATCTGCCTACATGAGAGTGAGTTCTCCCCGTTTGTATTTTACCACAAAGACTTCTTGTTGCTGCTCAAGGGGAGGCTTGGTCTCCAGACTACCATCTGCCCTCATTTGGTTCCTCTGCATACCAAATGAGTCCCCAGCCTGTTTGTTTTTCTAATTGACCCCTTTTGATGGAGCTAAGTGTGGAGTTGAGAGCGGTACAGCTCTGCTGTTCCCAGATGTGTCAAGTCATTTTAAAGCCACATAAGAACGCTGCTGATATCACCGTGCAGACTGCTGGCAATTATGTCTTTGCCTCCCCAGGGAAATATGCCCAGATTAGCTTGCATAATTGGTGGCTGTTGAAGATAAAAGCAGTGTGGGGGTATCAAGTCATCCGTGTTAATGTCTTTTTGTAGGAAAGGAAGCATGTTGATTGTGTTTAGTGTGTCCAGATTTGGTTTAGGTTGAGAACATTCCCAATCACAGTAATGGGAAGCAAATCCAAATATAAACAAGGTCATTTTAGAAAATCCTTTGTTGATTTTACACAAAACATCCTTTCATTTGATGATTTAAGCTTTATTTGTGCATAGTCTGTTTTTCCTTTTTCTGTGATTTTGACAAGTTTACTGTGCCTATCATCACTCAACCACATGTGGTAAAATTAGCAAATAACTCAATAATTTCTTATTTGGCTGTCAAATAAGACAAATTACTACCCTCTACCCTTGAAGAGACTTTCTTCCTCTCAAGTTTGATACAACATGACATCCAGGTAGAATGGCCTGAATAGGCGAGCAGCCTCCGGTGGCCATGAGGCGAGCTGCATGTGACCATTGAATCCCTCTGTGACAAATGTAGAATGGATGTATTTTATCCATAACCTCAACAGTTTTTCTACACATAACCAAAACATGTAACTTCAAAATAAAAGCTGTTTTATTTTAATAGTTTTACTCATGTAGGTGAAATGTGTCACTAAAGCCACAAAAAAAAAGAGTTTCTACTCAGGTGAATATTGTGTAGTCAAACTGTCTTTTGACCCAAAGGAAATCCTGACTCTAAAGAAAAGTTAAAACTCCTGAGTATCATTTCTGCAAATGTGTAAACGTTTGGTGTAAAATGGAAATCCCAGACTTGCAAGCACTGCTATGGTTTTGAATAAAGCTCCTAGACATCTGCTTTAATCCTAGAATAGGCTCAGAACCAAGGAAACTGGACTTTGTTGAATAAGTTTTTCTCAAATAAAAGAGAACAGATTAACTTTTTTTTTACTTGATTGGGTGCATGATTAATGCATGAAAGGTTTTTCCTGGTCCACGGTCAAGATGCTCAAATGTTAATGGGTTCATCTTCAACATATTCCAGTTGTCAACATTAATGTGAATGGGCTGTTCCCAGACTGCAGACAGGTTCGTCTGTGTGAACAACCAGTCCAGAAGGGAAGGCAGTGTCATGATTTGGGGCAGGTCCAGTCTGACTAGCTGTTAGCTGGTCTGTGCTGTCAGAACCTATCCATGATTCTCCAGACGGGTCATTTTAGATAACCATGTACTGCAAGTTTGATCAAACCCTCATATAAGCCTGGGTTCATGTTAAAACACTCCAACGGTCCTTGTGAGAGGACTTATTAATGGAACATCTTCAGAACTTTATTTGTTTTGTTTTTTTTGGGGGGGGGGGGGGATCCATGAACTGGATTTTTTTAGAGAGTAACATAAATCCTCTAATCTCACTTATATGCAGGAAAATTTTTAGCGATATTCAAAGTAAAATACTTGATTTAAAATAAAATCACAGATTCCTCTGTATTTTGGTTTGATGGCAACATGCACACAAACCACTAAAATACATCCGCCTCCTAATTCCTCACCTTGGACACTGCTTTTACACATAATATTTAAATATGTGTATTATTCATAGCTCAAAGTAAGCTACAGAGAGAGAGGTGTATTATAGTGGATGGAAACACAGAGGTGTCTGTGTGCTGGCCTTAGGTGCTTTCTTTGTGAAATTTAAAATAATCCCAATCTCTGCTGTGTGTTTTGTCATGCTAGCATGTGTGTTAGAGGTAACCGGCTAGAGCTGCAATAGAGCAACTTGATCAAAAGCTGGACAAACGTATTCAATTCTTATTTATTTCCATATCATCGTTTTAAGATTTCAGTTACGCCACAGGGATAATAATTTAGCTAAATTATATAATCTCAGGATTATTTCCATTTTTCATGGATGTCTATAAAGTTTTACTTCATGTGCTAATATAGTTTTTGTTTTTTCTACTAATGCACTAAATACATGCTTACACCAAATGGCCTTCTGTTTGCTCCATTGCCTCATGGGTAACATGGATGAACATATATGTCTGTAAAAGTTATCATCAATCACTCAGTTTTATTCAGGTTTAAGTTGGAATCCAAATCTAAATGTTTTAAAATATACCATTATGTTTTGTAATCATCTAACTGGTAAGGAGTGAATACGTGGTGGGATCTAGGGTGGGGGACATTTTGCTGCCCCCTGTCTGGGGTGAGAGCAAACTCATCCAAATCTTAGATTGTAGTATTGTTTGGAGAAAGTTGAACTTCTCTCTTTGAATTGGTCATTCAGCCTCTTTGAGTGAACCCTTTCCTCGAGACAAAGAGTTTGTGAGTGATGCTGGGATGGACCAACAGTTTAAGTCAGCATCCTCTGTAGTGAGGGCGTTGCTCAGCTCTGTAGTGGTACAGGAGCTGAGCCAAGAGGTTCATCTTGTTCTGACTCCTCTATAGTTACAGGTTGTGAATCATGACTGCCATCCCATGGGAACACCATCCAAGATACACATGTTTGAAACAAGCTTCCTCCATCAGCCTTGGGAATAATGTGAGGAGTCCTATCATTTGACTGGAGCTCAGAGTCGATCTGTTGGATGTAATGAAGTGGTTCAAGCACCTGATTAGGAGGCCTTCTGAGCTGGACTGAGAGGAGATGGGGCAGACCTCAATGAAAAGTTCAGAAATCTACTTGGGGATCCAACAGGAACAGCTGAAAAGAGAGAGACAGGTTTTCCTTCTGGACCATTTTACCTTCACAACACGACCCTGGGTAAAGGACAGTAACCAGACAGCACCTCTTCAAGCCCCAAGTGTGTGTGTGAATGTGTAAAGTACTTTAAGAAGCCGGAGAGACCAGACGTGTTATATTGATGTTGTTTTTTTTAACCAATTAAAATTACTGTTTTTAAGGTGCTTTGGATAGAAACATCTGCCAAATACTCTTTTGTTAAGGGGTTTGCCACTAGGAGACCTCTGGAGGCCTCCAAAGCCCTGGATCGTGGTCCTGACCTGTAGATCCACCCCTGAACTCCCGACCTTCGCCAAAATCGGGAACTGGGGTCTGAGGGTCCTCTAGGCCTCCAAAAGCCCCGGATTGTGGTCTTGAACTGTATATGCACGACAAATTATGCAAACACATCCTTCCCATTACATTTGGTTCCCCCTTCTTGAGAGGCGCAGAGGATTGCCCCGAGGGGCCACAACCAGCAGCCGGCAGAGTCCCACCCCCAAGCCGGCTGAGCCCGGAACCCAGCGACCCGGGACCCAGGGGTGACCTGCCCCGCCGGGGATCCAACAGAGCCCAGGGACTCGGATCCCACCAGGCAGCCACCAGGATCTATCGGACAGATGCCAAAAATCTTAAACCCCCTGACACGGGAGCCACAAACACACAGGCTGTGTGTGTGTGTGTGTGTGTGTGTGTGTGTGTGTGTGTGTGTGTGTGTGTGTGTGTGTGTGTGTGTGTGTGTGTGTGTGTTTAACTTTGGTTCTGCTTCCCCATTTAGATAATTGTTGTCACCTGTCTTCCCTCCAGCCCTCACTCCACACACCTGCTTCCTGTTTCCCTAATTGTTCCTCCCAGTCTATTTAAGCCCTGTCTTGTCTTTGTCTTGTGTCGGTCCATTGTTTGTAGTTCTGTCAGTCTTGTTTCTCTGTGTATAAACCAGAGTTTTTTGGATTTCCAGATCTTTATCTGGTTTTTGGATTTTGGCTCACAGCCTTGGATTTATTTTATATTTGGCTCTCCTTTTAAATAAAGGATTTTACTTAACCTTCATCCCTGCCTCGTGTCATCCTGGGTACTGCATATTTGGGTCCTCCAACACCATATCGTGACAGAATGGACCGACCAACCAGGACCCAGCGGACCCGGATATACCCTTTTCATGGTGACCCGGACTCTTGTAAGACCGTTTTATTGGACTTAGTGATGTTTCATGACACGGACATGCCGGACATTTATTTAGTTATTAACACGGTGTACCTCCTAAGGGGAAGAGCCCTGCAATGGGCCAGCCATTATTTTGAACAGAATTCTATTGAGGATATGGTTTTTTGGGATTTTGACGAGGATCTGCTGGACGCTTGCAGCAGCCCACAAGCTCCCTACTTTTCGAGGAATCATAACCTGTCAGCAAGCACTGTGCTAAGAGCTGCCTTCTCAGCATCTAAGAAGCGCCACACCTCCACATCTCTGCCTGGTCCTGACAGCTCCACCTCCCTGTCCCAGACCATCAGAACCGGTGTCATCTCATTTCCCTCTATGCATGTTGATGCCACCTCAGCTTCTCAGATGGGTCACACCGCCACACCCTCACCTGGTCCTGACAGCGCCACCACTTCCTCTCCGGTGGGCTGTATCTCATCCGCTGTACCTGCTTCCCGCTCCTCCCAAGAGCCGCGCCCGCGGTTGACGTCGCCGCCATTGCCAACATTCTTCTGCTGTCAGAGTTGTGCCACCTATTCTAGAGGCCCCTGCTCTGCAACCCAAATCAGAACACATGAATCCATCAGAAGCCAGAGCTGTGCTGCCTACCCAAGAGGTCCCTGCTCTGCGACCCGCATCTTAACTCCAGCTACCATCTCTGT